GCTAACTTCCACAACCCGTTCAATTGCTCATACAGTTCGATTGCTTCCTCCTTGGTTTGAGTTGAGTCCAAAGAATCATCCATATAAGTTGACTTTTCGACAGTCTCCGCCGCGAGGGGGTAAGTTTCTTTGTGTCGTCGGGTGTTTTCTTGAGCCACAAATTGCGCATGGAATGGAGCTGATGTGTCACCAAAGACCATTCTTTCAAATTCATAGACATCAGGACGTCGATCAATTTCTAGATTTCTCCACAAGAATCGGAAATACGAACGATCTTCAGCTGGAATTCGGATCTGTAGATACATCTCTCGGATATCGCATGCCATAGCAACAGGATATCGACGAAATCGCATGAGTACATCAAACAAATTGCTCAACAGCTTTGGTCCTGGTAGGATCATCTCATTCAAGGACACCCCATGATGCTTAGCGCTGGTGTCGAACACAATACGAGTCTTTGTCGTTGCTCGGTCTGGGCGACACACCGGAAATTGGGGTAAAAACCACACTCGACCTTCGGGAACCATTGCTTCATCAGGAGTCAGTTTACGGATATATTTCTTTTGCTCATAATTTCGAATTGTTTCACCGTAATCTGCTCCAAGGGATTCGTTCTTCGATAATCGTTTCTCTGTAATCTTGAGGCGATTTAATGCAGTCTCGTAATTGTTCATTAGAGTTGGACAACTTTCTTGCCACGGCACTGATGCACAAATCAGGAACTCTGCCTCTTCTACCATCCAATCACTACTCACATTTTCCAAGGTCTCTTCTTTACATTTCTCCATTAACCATCTAAAATAACTGGCCAACATTCTTTTCAATTAATAACAGATACAACATGCTGTTCGGTTTTAACTCGTTCCATAGTCATTGCTCTTTTAACATCACGATCGTATGTACCAAATTGTCCGCAAAACTTTTCAATTTCTTGCACATCGTCGTCTTGAAACGGTGTAGTGTTACGAAGATCCTCTAACTGCGCTTGTATCTGTCGACGATTACCTCCAAACTTTCGTATCAAAGTCTTTTTTGTCTCTTCATAGGCTTCTTCTGAATATCCCAATTTCAAGATTGCCTCTGCTGCCTTTCCCTTCAGACATGTTTTTAATCTGAACATTTTGTGTTTTGAAAGTACAATTGCTGAAAAAGCTGCCCAAAAAACTTGCAAACTTCCATTTGTCGCCATCAAATTTTGGTATTTGGAGACGCTCCAAACTGCGATCAACACCCTCCGTCTTAACAGGCATTTCTTCCCCCGCACGCCGTTCACAATCATCCATTAATTGCCTGAGTTCCTTCCAACTTTTTACTTCGTCCACTTCGATCTTTGATGTATAAGGTTGATTGACTCCGTCTCTATACTCTTTTGATTGCGCCGTATCCAGCACGTCCGGACTTCGTTTCATTGGTTTAGTAATCATAGCCACTATAAACGATTTCACTGTAACTACATCGCGATTGGTATCTTTTGTAACAATCTCAAGTTCGTCCTCAGTCTTTACAGCATTTTGTTTGTCACCAGCTTTTTTGTACGCTAGGATTAGTTCCTCAATAATTGTCAACGTCTCCCTGCTGCTTCTCTTCGTATGTGTCTAGCCCTTGCAATAATTCCTCACTCTCACATTTCTCGTTGGACATTAATCTTAAAAGTTTCGTATAAAGCTTCGAAGTTTGAGTTTTTATCACTCGCTTTTGCTTCTTCAAGCGTTCAATGTCTGTTGACAACAACAAAGACGCCTCCATCTCTTCGCCGACTTCGCCTGTGACTGTATTATCAACCATTTTCTGCTACCATATGTTCTGAAGAACTCGACGATATTCAAAACTCTTTAGACAATATTTCTACATCTTTTAATCACGAACGAATATATACTAACTAGCTAATTTTTATTGTATTTTTCTGTTTTTAAAAGCATCGCCTAATCATATATTTGCATAAACATTACCTAGAGATTATTGTTATCATAACGAACTCCTCTTGAACCTGAAGAAGGGCAAAACGGAAGTAATGCTTTTTGGAACGTCGCAAAGGCTTAGAAAAAGTGGAAAAACCTAAATATAATGTATAACAACACAGTGATAAACTTCATGACTGAATATGTGTATCTTGGAAATGTGATAGATAACCATATGTCATTGAATGGAAATTTCAACCGATCATACAAGAGAGAAAGCGGTCATCTTTGTTTACTCCGATCAGTCCGCAGAAATTTGACAGTGGCGTCAGCTATTGATATCTACAATATGATGATACTACCAATTTTAGCCTATAGTAGTACCATCAAAACAATTTTTACTGACTCTCAACTAGCAAAGTTTACATCGTTTGAGAGACGTGCGTGCAAGGTGATTGGCACCGAATCTATACCGAATACCAAAGAACTGGTGCAATCGCAAATTTGTTCTATGGTAGAAAAATGTCTCCAGAAGAGTTTTGAACATGATACACTCGATAATTATTTTCAAATGGTTAATCATGAGAAAGAAACGAGAAACAACAGCATTACTATTAAACTGCCACAAATTAAGCTGGAATTAGCTAAGCAAAGCTTCTACTTTGGTGGAGCAAAACTGTTTAATTCATTACCAGCAACAATACGAAGATCTATGATTTTGAAATAGTTTATCTTTCAAGACATTTTAACTTTGTAAATATTATATTTGTAAGATATTTTATCCTATTTGTTCATTATTATATAATTATGTAATTTTTAGGCTTTATTTATTAACTTTTTGGCTACCTATTTTGTTATTCTTGAGACTTTACAGGACAAACATTGATAGCAGTTTTTGTAATTAATTATTTAATTTTTACATAACTGACGTTTTTATCCTGTTAAAATATTCATCAATAATAATAATAATAATAAGTGTTCTCTCCTAAACAATAGAATTGGAAAAAGATATGAAAACCAATCAAATTCTTTCCTCAACATCAATCATCACTGATTTAAGATCTTCCCTGTCGAATGAGATCATTCTAAACACATTCACTTCATGCGCTGCTTAAAAATAGACCTAGTTATAGCCCATTGTGATATGAGGTAGGAGTAGTCTTATTAAATTTTTTGAAAAGGCAAAAGGAAAACACATACGTTTTTTACAACTTGTTGTCTTCCTAAATAAAGAGTTATGTGACACTTCAAAAGGTTATGCTTAGTTTAACAGCTATTAAATAACAAACAATGGACCTATTACCTAATAACCAAAATTTTAATCTCAACAAGTCTAGACAAAAATTTCATCACAGCTTGAAAGAGCATCACAAAATTAGTAATATTCCAAAGTTTCGTTACTAAATATTGTAAAATCCGGATAATATAGCCTTGCAAAGTTTGCAATTTTCAGTCATTTTAGATTACAAATGGGAAATTGATAATCTGATTATCAAACTGAACGACATTTTGATCTAGACAAAAATTCCATCATGGCTTGAACGAGCATCACAAAATTGGTAATATTCCGACGTTTTGTTGCAAAATGTTGTGAAATGCAGATAATATAGCCCTATGTAGTTTGCCGTTTTCAGTCATTTTGTATCTGAAAAAAGTATCAATTTCCCGCATGTAATACAAAATGACTGAAAAACGGCAAATTTCGCAGGGCTATATTATCTGCATTTCGCAGGGCTATATTATCCGCATTTCACAACATTTTGCAACAAAACTTCGGAATATTACCAATTTTGTGATGCTCTTTCTAGACTTGTCTAGATCAAAATGTTGTTCATTAGGTAATAGGTCCATTGACTGGATTATATATAGACCTTTAAATTCAACCTTTTGGTTGTCCTTCTCTGTCAACTGACTTATTAAAAACATGTACAGTTTTATACTAAATTTTCATCTAAAATTTCATTAAACAAAGAAATAATACCCAATGGGTTGGGAAACTAGTATACCATGCAGACTATACTAGCCAAGAATACATAATGCATAATCATACCGTTAAGGCTTTGACTGTGGTTTGAATCTGCTGTTTCAACACTTGACACATCTACAAAATATGATATATATTTATTAATTATTCAAACAAACTTGGCATTTTTACTAAAAAACTTTCAAAGCTTGTCAGAAAGAAGAATACAAATTAATTCTAATTTTCAGAACCTTTCTAATTGTTACTGAAAAAAAGGAATAACATTGATTTTTTATACAGAACCATGACTGATTTGAATTCTAGTTTCATTGATAAATAAGACAGATTTTTGCACTATTGTTAGAGATTAAATGCACTGAAATCAACCAATCACAGTTGAGTAATATTTTTATGTATATTATTATTTGTTAAACAGGTAAAGGTATTTGTTAAAGAAGTAAACAAAGTGAACAGAGCGAAGTTTGTATAGTATGTCACAATCAGGACTTATGGCACTGAGACACGCAAAAGACACTGGACCAGTGGTGTAGCAAACTCGATAATTGGGGGAGGGGGCAATATTCATCTTCTGCATCATTAATTTCTTTTGAAATCAATTATTTTTAAGGTCTGTAACACAAATATATAAATATTCCCCCCCCCCCAATTATCGAGTTTGCTACACCACTGCACTGGACACACTGGCATTGAAAGACTCGCCATGCATTAAGCCAAACTGTACTCAAAGAATTTTTTTTCAAGTGCAAAACCAAAGAATAACGATGAAAGACATATGTACATAATCAAGCTTCATTCAGTGTAGTGTAAGGTGGTTTTATCTGTTAGTATCAATAATTAGGTCTACTGATAAAGTATGCTCGATTTCGACACATTTTACAAAGTTTGCATGCTTGCCATTTTTGTCAAATGGTAAAGCAGAAAGATATTATTGGTGATCTGTGTTGACTAATTAATGTTAGTAGTTTATAGAAAAGTTAAAGTCATATGCCAGTCAAGTGCCATGGTTTTGAAACGATATCTGTTATCTGTAGAGATCTGTTTTCTATTTTATACCAAATAGTAATTATCTAAGTCATATCACCAACAAAAATAGAAGGGTAAGTCTATATTTCTGCACAAACATTTTGAAATTTAGGTATGAATTTGATTTAAAAAATAGTGCTGAAAATATGTTGATATTTTGCCTTCATTCGGAGTTCAAGAACAGCCTACTGTGTCTCGGAATTTTTCACACTCAGAAGTAGAAAAGGAACATTTATACATTATGCTTACCGTGATTCTGTCAACATAAAATTTACTGTCTGCCGAAATCGTTTAGGTTTACCTAATGTTACGTGACCACAAATTGCGGCTGTAGTAGTGAACACCATATGTAAGTGCAAATTAGTACAGAACAAAATATTGTAAACACAAAAACTGTGTTGCAATACTGTCTAGGACTACTATTTAATGCAATACAAAGAAAGGGAAATCAAAGAGCAACAAACATTTCATGGTCTTTGATATATTAATTAGTACATTCTATTAAACAAAACTTTATATAACAGTTTAAGGTAAACAAACCAATGGAAATTATGTCTGTAGTATTACTAATTCAGGATTTTCTAATTTGTTTGAGACATTTTATTTACAGGAGGTAAAGTGGTAAACAAAGCGAACAGAGAAAAGTTTGTATGTCACAATCAGGACTCATGGCATGGCACAGTGGACACACTAGTATTTAAATGACTATCCTTGAAGTCAAACTGTACTCAACCAATTTTTTTCAAGTGCAAAACCAAAGAATGATGAAAGACATATATTTACACAATCAAGCTTCATTCAGTGTAGTATAACTCATTAACGCCCAAGCTGTTACAATGTTTCTACCCCCCTAACGTCCAAGCAATATGGCGAATACGTGACTGAATTCAAGAGCTTTCACCAAAATGGCAATATCTCAGAAACAGTTGCATGAATAAATCTGGTCTTTTCAACCAAATATTATTAATATATGATTGACCAAATTTAGTTTAAATGAACTTGCATACCTATATATATCATTAGTTTTTTCAATGAGAATTTTTATTTGTAAACCAGTGACACTATTTTTTTCATGTCACTCATCACCTAAAGGGGCAATATCTCCATATATTTATATAAAAACCAAAAAAAAAATATTTACTAAATTAGTACATATCTATATTATAACCAATTTTCATCTATTGGGATATGAATTAGAAAATGATCAAAAATTATAAAAAATACTCCTTTGCTTTTTTGGGCAAGATGTTTACAACATGAAATTTAGAACAGTAACTAAGTGTTAAAATTCAACAAAGTGTGCAAGCCAAAACACAGTGCTTGTACATCTTTGGAGTTTTTAATTACCTCAAATATATTTAAAAGGACATACGGTACTAGAATCTATTTGTTTTCAATATAAACCAAGGATGGGAAGTTGAGAAAATAGGAATTTTCTGAGGTGTTTTTAACACAGACAATGACAGCCGACATTTTCAAAGGCAAATTGCGGTGACAAAACCAAAAGTTATTCACTTCTCTACTCAAAGCACTGAAAAACACCATAAAGAGAAAAACATTTTAAACATACATCAGGTAAGCCTTTTAGCTCAATTTTTTCATGTTTCTGTTTGGAAAGAAACGGTTTTTAGCCAAAATTATTTTGCGCGCCAATGTAGGCTGCTATAAAATGTCAGACACGCGTTCTCTTTTGAAGTCTGGCTCTGAAAAACAATCGCTTTTTTTTAGTTTGAAATAAGCTTTCATTAGGACTAATTGTGTAGAAATGTTATCTGTATGCTCAAATGAAAAAGATAACCTAATATTCAGGTATTCAACATAGCTATAAAAGGGTGAAATAAGGACTTTCATCTTTGGTTGTTTGTCAGACATGAGAAACC